AGCTCCTTCTGACCTTCTCTGTACTTCTCCATCAGCATCCTCAAGGCAAATCTTGCATCTGTGGTACTCTTCCTAGGCATGAAACCATACTGTTGTTCACAAATCTCCACTTCCTGCCTCAACCTAGCTTCAACCACTCTTTCCCAAATCTTCATTGTGTGGCTCATCAACTTTATCCCTCTGTAGTTGTTACAACTCTGTGCATCACCCTTCTTATAAATTGACACCAGATCACTTTTCCTCTACTCATCAGGCATCTCGTCTTTTTCTAAAATTCTGTTAAACAAACCAGTCAGGAAATTTACCGCCACTTCTCCTAAACACTTCCATACTTCCACTGGTATGTCATCAGGACCAACTGACTTTCCACTCTTCATCCTCTTCAGGGCTTTTCTAACTTCATCCTTTAACCTGATCTACCTTCTTCCTACTAGTCTCTGGTTCCTCGTTTCTACTTTCCCTTTCATTTTCCTCATTTAACAACTCCTCAAAGTATTCCTTACATCTTCTCAGCACACTTTCCTCACTTGTGATCACATTCCCACCTCATAACCACTAACAACATTTATCATCTCTCCTACTACTTCTACCTTCACACACATCAACCTGTCTGACAACCTGTACCACATTTCTTACATATTCTTCCTTTAGGATCACCCCTACTCCATTTCTCTTCCCAACTGAACCATGATAAAACAGTTTGTAGCCTCCTCCAATGTTTCTAGCCTTACTGCCCTTCCACCTGGTCTCCTGCACACACAAAATAGCTACTCTTCTTCTCTCCATCACACCAGATATTTCTCTACTTTTCCCTGTCATTGTACCTACATTCAAGGTTCCAAACCTCAGACTAACACTTCTATTCTTCATCTTTTCTCTTTTTCTCCTAACCAAACGCCCTCCTCTTCTTCTCTGTCTCTGGCTCTGTCTCTGACCAACAGTAGTCCAATTTCCATCAGTGCCCTGTTGGTCAACGGCACTGTTGGCGGTCGTTGTTAACCCGGGCCTCGACCAATCCGGTATGGAAATCGTTTTATTGATCTGCATATTTGATTTAGCTAAACGTTTTACGCCGGATGCCCTTCCTGACGCAACCCTCACCATTTATCCGGGCTTGGGACCGGCACTATAAACACGGCTTTGTGTACCCCAGTGGGCGACACTGATCTGAGTGAAATCAGTGGGCAGTGCCTCTGGGACAGGAAGTTGGTTCATAAATTTGTGTTTACGACAGTGATTCTCCCCTCAAATTTTTTAATAATTGCACGGTACTAACATTCGCTACTGCGATGTTTTACATCACTTCCTGTCCCAGAGGACCGCCCCCCCCCTGCCCCCACCCGATATACACACACATAGATTAGATTCCCTGGCATGCTGGGAAAGGTGTTCACTGTGTCCCCCTCACTGTGCTGATGATGTCAGTAGCTGATGATGTCAGTAGCTGGTGATGTCAGTAGCTGTCTACCTCTACATCACTGCCAATAACAGACGCTGATGTCCTGTGGAAATAATTCTGATTTGTCTTCACGCCGCAGAAGCGACGTGATTTTTAGCCGACCCGTTCAAAGCTGACGATACTACTGAGTAACACACTCGATGCGAACGATTATAATCAAGGAGCAGCTAGCTGCACTGAGAACAAAGGAGTGCCGTTGTTTTGACTTTTTCTTTATATATCACTTATGCTAATGCTTAGTTAACGTGTCAAATCTAGCTAGCTAAATCATCATCCATTGTCATTTTTAATACTGAGACTGTGTCGAACATTAACTCCACTAGGTGTCCTCGTTGTTTTCGACTGCGTCTTTAGTCGTCGTCCGTTGAACTTATTTAGGATAATTGCGATCTCAGACATCATTAAGACCAGCACCACGGATAATAAACACAATAGACCAAACGTTTAACTATTATCACCGTACGCTAATAAATCTGTAATGTAACAGTGCTAATAATGATGCTAGCACTACCGATTAGCTGCCAAACTGCTGGTAATAAATTGTTTCCCTGTCCATCAAACGAGTGTGAAAGTCCAGGAGAGATTTTTTTTGAACGATTCAGATAAAGCACAGCGTGCCACGAGAAAATGGAGTACTGCACATGGGAGTGGCTGAAAAGAACATGATGAACCTGTGCCAGAAAAGCTTCCTAGTACTTAAGGCCAACATTGACACAGTCAAGTCGAGAATTGAACAAAAGTGCCTCACCCACTCTGCAGATGTGGCGCCCCCTAGAAATTAGTCAAAGATGGTGTCATTGAACGTTTGTGTAAAATAAAGAAAATAATATTTACTCTGAAGGCAGCAGCCAACATCAGCTTTTACAAACTTCAGATAGAATTGGTGAATATTATAGTTACTTGTTAAGGTTTATTTACAAGTGTTTCACTATAAAAGTAACTGTAGTAAAAAAAAAATATACAGTGCCGCAAGTACAAATACTTTTTTTTTTAACTCTAGTTCAGTTGTTAGATAAATTACAGTTGCTCTGTTGTTTGTTCTCAGTGAAGTTTTGGTTTCTTTACTGGAGCTGAACTGGTCCTGGTCCTGGTCCTGGTCCTGGTCCAAGTCTTATCAAACATTCCTGTGGAATTAGTGTGTGTTTTATAGTAGTAACAGTGGTGATCTAATTAAGCCTTTGTTCATGTGAATGGAACCTGAAAAATATATATGAAATACATAAATATAATAATGAATAACAAAGGGGGAAAAAAGATCTTTTATATTATTTTAAAATAAATGTGGAATATTTCACTGAAGCACTTTGGTTAAAAACAGCTTATCAATATGACCTATATTGTTCAGTGCGCAATGATTTGGTTTTTCTTTTCTACCTGGCTTGAAGAGAAACCTGTAACGATTTGATTTCTTTCCCCTAAGACTGAAAGAAAAATTGAGAGAAATTGGATTTCAGCCTTTAGTTGAGATTAAAAAAATATATATAAAAATAAATAAATCTTTAAATAAAGAATATTTATTAAGATGTATTTGAATACATTTTTACTTTATTTTTTAAAGTAAATGCATTTTACTGCTGCGCTGTCGCCATTTGTTTTTAACGTATTTATTTCAAATGTACATACGGTGATGTTGACGACGTTGATGGAGTGGTCTTCATTGAATCAGTGTATAACGTGATTTGCGGTCAGAGCTCGAACTGTTTAACTCTGTCTGTGCAGATAACCTGATGATGTCATCTCCCCCTCTCAGCTCCCCCCCCCTCTAAACCGTTACACTGTAGAAGAATTCTCACACTCCGAATCAAAGTGTTTTCTATAACGGCTGCTTTGAGACTGTGTTTGGTTTGGTTTCTCTCTGACCACATGTAGCCGCTCGACTCCGAGCCTTCTGCTGTTTCTCATTGAACATAAAGATTAAACCTGAGTCTGATGTTTGGATTCTGTGTGGTGTCACTGAGACCAAATGCCGCATGATCACAAACGTACACGTTCACATTGTTGATGATCGAAAACGTAACGAGCAAATAGGTGTTAGAAAGGTTTACGTTTTAGGTCCATTAGTTGGTGCTCAACATACGTTCATTATATATATTTTCTCCAAATGTATGAAATAGGGCAGTACCACTGGTGATGATGGGGGCAGTGTTGCGCACTATAGCTAGCGTGATCCCATAAATTAAACAGAAGAAGACAACGACAGAAAAAGGTTCAACATTCTCCGATGTTCATAACGTCCACGCAAACGTTTGGACCTGTTTCTGAGCCGAAAAATTATCGTCACTGTGTTCGTTAGTGACTAAGAAACTGACGCCCGCCAAGAAATTAAATGTTCTGAACCCAATGCTGCCCTCCCGTGGCTGTATTGCATAGCAACCGTGCCGAGCGTAGGGCACGCATGGGGGTATGTGAAACTAACTAGATTTTCAGTACTATACATACTGTACTATACTATACATATATAATTGCATATATAAATATATAGATGCAGACAAGAGAGGATTTAGTCATCAAATACTTCAAACAATGAATCAGATCTGTCAAATATATATATATATATATATATATATA